ATTGTTTGTAAGCATGGAAAATTGAAGACAACATTAATAGTTCTCCATTGAGAAGTTGTCAGATATGGTGTATTAATACTATCAAATAATAGGCAGTTTTAAAAGAGAATGGGTAGATACACCTGTGAGTTGACTGAACAGGAAGGAAAAAATTAAGCTGCAGAACTATATAGAGTATGATTCCAATGTTTTTTTTTTGGGGGGTGGGGTGGGGGGACAGCTATATGTTTGAGCAGAAAAAAGGCCTAGGAGATAAACTGAACTATTAGTAGTCATTATACTTAGCAGGATTATTGAGAGAAGGGAGGAGGGAAATGGAAGGAAACTATATTATTTTATGTACTTTTGAGTTCTTTCCGACAATGAGCATACACTACTTTTAAATAAAAGCATCAGTGAAAATCCAACCTTGATTAAAGGAGGTGATGAATAAATATTTATTTATTCTATTGAACCATGGATAAAATTGAATAATTTTGTTATGATAACTGAGAAAATATGTCATTTGGTGCTTTATTACATAAATAAATATCTCCAGTTTTAAGATTATCTGGCTGTATTTTGTAGCCATGTCCTTTCTTATACTACTTACTGCTGTCATTATGACCATTTCCTCGGTATTCTTGCATTTTCAAAGGTAATAAATTATAGCTAGAGTTTGTTTTTCAGCACAATAATCAAACTGAAGTTTGGTTTCTGCCTTTGTACTTCACTTGATTCCAGGAAGTAACCAGAAGGTCTGTTTGGCATTGAAAATAAAGGTTGAGAATGAGGTGCCAGTCATAGCAATCGCCCCAATTTGATTTCCCAGATGGGTCTCCCAAGGAAGCGCCTGCATATTTACATTTTCTTCTGCTCTGCTCTAGCATGTGGCTGTCTTTAACTAACTACCGCATATCAGAGTAAACTGATTCAATTCCAGAAGGGTTTATTTCTTGCCTACCAGTCTGCAAGGTACTTACTGTAGGACTGACTGATTATGCAGAGATGATGATTTAATTAAAATGGCTGCACCAGGTAGGTTGTTACACATTCATTTTAGTTACATGGATTAAGCAAGAGACTCCTAGGGCAGTAAGTCAATCAAAACATTATGAAAAAGGGACTTGGTGCTAAGGACAAATAGAGCTCAGAATTCTTACCCTTAAGGAGCTTATTCTGGTTGAATAATAAGATATACAGAAAGAAAAAAAATACTTAGTTATCCAAATTAGTTTATTATGCACACCATTCAACTATAAAATTACCTATTATTTGACTGTCCACTTGACCACCAGAGGATCAAGTCCTTCAGGGAAGAATTCATTGCTTGGATTCTTGCAATGTCTGAGGAGTATATAGTATACACTCAATAGATCAGAGGCCATAGGGTTTGCCCTGTGCAGAGATTTAGAAACCATTGAACCAACATTAAAGATTTAATACAAAAATTTGCATTTCTGGCTTCTCTTAAAAACTGGAAGTTCCAACTGGCATAAGACAACACTTGGCTGGAGCTGAATGAGGGCTGCCTGCTTCAGATGGGGGCCTGAGCATATACGAGCCTATGATTTCTTTGTACTCATGTTCTACAAAAATAGGAATACTAAGGATAGCCAACATGACTATATGTTTAAAAAACAATGAGAGAAACCAAAGCTCATGTTTAGTTGACACATAAGAGTAAAAAATATTGCCATATTGGTTCATAAATGGCCATTGCTGGAGTCCCTATGTGTTGCCCCATGGCCCTGGGCACTTTGGTCTATTTTCCCCTCACTCTCCTCAGTCTAGCAGGATCCTGCTCCAACACCTCAGCCATAAAGCATCCAAATGAAGAGCCCAGGCTGAAGGCCAGTCATTGAATATTTTTAATAAAATCCCTGGAGAAAATATGCTTCTTTGTGCAGAGAATATTCCCACATGCTTTAATATGCAAATGTATGGATCTGTAAGAAAAATGCAGCATAAGATAACAATGTGAAAGACTCCATAGGTTCCCTAACATTTTCATGATATCTGCCTGGACTATTTCGGAATTTGAACTTATGGTTCCTAAAATATCCTCAGAGCTTAATTGAATTGAATAAGTAACTTAGGGCTCAATGAAGGGAGAGCTCATGACTAGCTTTGAAGAGGAGGGAAAAGTTTTTTGGAACTATTTAGTTGTACACTCTTTATGCTCTAAGCATTTTACAAACATCTCCTTTCACGCTTCACAAAGTCTTGGGGCTTATCACCATTTTATGAATGAAATCGCCTAGGCTCATGCAAGGTAAGAACTTGTCTACTGTCGTGGTAGATGGAGCTGGGATCAAAACTCAGGTATCTTAACATTACCCAGTCATCATGCCCACAATCAAATTAAAAAACAAAACAAAACAACACCATCTTGATTGTAAAAAAAAAAAAAAAAAGGAAAAGAAGGCAGAGGGCAGGACTCTCTAATCAGAGAAAGGTCTGGATCATGGAATACATAATAAAACTGTCAAATGTGTTAAGGGTTGCTTAGTTATCCTGCTTGTGCCATGGAATAGTGACCTGAAGGGGGACTTTAGAAACCAAGTTTTAGTCCATCTTTGTTAGTGATTTTGATGTGAGTTAGGGAACATCACTTAAGGTCTCCATGTCTCAGTTACTTTCCTTACAACTTGTTTCTCACAACTGAAAATGAGATCTGCTTTGACTACTGTGATCTTCCAGCCTTCTGAGCCCAGTGGAAGCCTTAATAGTTTAGATTATGGTCCAGCAAACATTCACTCTCCAGTGGGCAGAATACACTTTTCCTCCCACTGAGATTTTTTTGGCCATGTGACTTGCTATGGCCACTGGAATGTCAGCAGATATGGCATGAGCAAAGGTTTCAAACATATATATGTGGTAGCACTTGTTCTCTTGGCTTCTGCCAGGACCATAAAAAGAACATGGCCTGGCTTCCCCAATTGAGGGACATGTGGAATAGACTTGGACCCACTGTATCACCTTCAAGGTGATAGGTATAATCTCCTGAGGGATAACAACCTATTGTGATAGACTAGAATCAGAGCTGCTCCTGGATGCCACAGTATTTTTCTTATTTATAGAATCTAAGTCATTTAGTGAGATCAGCCTCAGGTGACTGTGTGAATTATTCTGGACTGTTTTGTAAGTGCTGGCAGACTTGTGAATGGGATGATGAGAGAGAAAAGATAGCCTCTTCAACAAATGGTGCTGGGAAAACTGGAATTCCATATGCAACAAAATGAAATTAAACTCCTGTCTCTCACCATGCACAAACTCAGCACTAGAGCAGAGACCCTGTGCCTAATAGAAAAAAAAGTAGGCCCAAATCTTCACCATGTCAGCTTAGAAACTGACTTCCTTAACAAGACTCCTAAATTGCAAGCAGTAAAATCAAGAATCAATAAATGGGATGGATTCAAACTAAAAATCTTCTCAGCAAAGGAAACATTTTAATGTGAATAGAGAGCCTACAGAATGGGAGAAAATCTTTACCACATGCACCTCAGAGAGAGCATTAATCTCCAGGATATATAAAAAAACTCAAAAAACTTAATACCCCCCCAAAAAACCAATTAATCCAATCAATAAATGGGCTAAGGAACTGAACAGACACTTCACAAAAGAAGAAATACAATATCAATGCAAGAGAAATGCAAATCTAAACTACTCTAAGATTTCATCTCACTCCAGTTAGAATGCTAATTATCAAGAATATAAGCAACAATAAATGTTGGTGAGGATGTGGGGAAAAAGGTACACTCATACATTGCTGGTGGGACTATAAATTGGTGCAACCACTATGGAAAGCAGCATGGAGACTCCTCAGAAAACTTGGAATGGAACCATCATTTGACCCAGCTATCCTATGTCTTGGTTTATACCCAAAGGACTTAAAATCCGCAACTATAGGGACACGGTCACATCAATATTTAAAGCAACTCAATTCACAATAGCTAAGTTATGGTATCAACCTAGATGTCCTTCGATAGATGAATGGATAAAGAAAATGTGGCATATATACACAATGGAATATTACTCAGCCTTAAAGAAGAATGAAATTATGGCATTTGCCAGTAAATGAATGGAGCTGGAGATATCATGGTAAGTGAAATAAGCCAATCCCAAAGAACCAAAGGTTAAATGTTTTCTCTGATATGTGGATGCTAATTTGCAATGAGGAGGAGGGGGCTAGGGAAGAATAAAAGTACTTTGGATTAGACAGAAGGGAGTGAAGGGAGAAGGGGGATAAGGGGGAAAGAATGTTAGAATGAATTGGACATTATTACTCTATATGCGTATATGATTACATGACTGGTATAAGTCTACACCATGTACAACCAGAAGAACGAGAAGTTATACTCCATTTATGTATGATATGTCAAAATGCATTCTACTGTCATATGTAACTAATTAAAACAACAACAACAAAGGGGTAGAAAGCCAAATTCTGGGGAAGATTGGTGTGTTTTTGATTGTACACAGTGGCATTGTGTTAGGTGGATAAATAACTAGAAACCTGATGAAGCATTTTTTACTGGGCATTGAACCCAGGGGCACTCAACCACTGAGCCACATCCCCAGCCCTGTTTAGTTTTTATTTTGAAACAGGATCTTATTTTGAAATAGGTCTACAGAGATAAAACTGGGTACACATGTTGAGAGCCACAGCCAAGTTGGAATGGCCCCTGGCATTTTGCCAAAAGTAATGGTTGAGAGGCGAGCCATTAAGATGATGCTGGATTGATTCAATTGTATATAGACCCCTGCCGTCTGCCTAGGGCACCCGCTACTTTGGAGTTCTCCGGGGATTTCCTGGGGAGTTCGAGTTGGTTGGGGAAGTTCCGGTGGAGGGAGTTCCAGTTGGTGTGGTGTGCCAGAGAGGAGCCAGGTGGGTGGCGTTCGGGAGAGTTCCCGGGGA